AAAACAACAAAAACAACTTCAACAACATAGACAATTCTGCCGATGATGACTGCGGCGACCGAAACGTCAACAACACCTACACCTACGACATCGCCGGCGACCACAGAAAGAGCCACTCGTTGCCCTCCGGCCCTTGGGGGGCAATTTCGCTGAGTTTCTCGCCTTCCTCTTTATGCTTGCCGCACATGATGCAATTACACAGATTGGGAGCGGAGGCGAGGGGAGGGTCAGTGGGTGAGGAGGGGCTGGCTCGTTCCCCTGGGATGGCGGGGCTGATGGTCTCTGCTAATTAGTGCTCTCTCTTGGGATCATTGTAGTGTCCATTTCGCTGGCCAAGGGAGGCAAGTTTCCAACCAACGCTTTACCTGCCACATCTCAGGGTTGCTAAGCCTTGTGATTGTTCTCCTCTGCCTAGCTGTATCACTCTTCCCCTATCCTTCATTCTCCTGGATTCAACCTTTGGCGGTAGCTCAAGTAAGGCGGAGTTTGATCAAATGTATAGAGAGGGGTCAATCCTTCCCTGATCAGGGAGTAATCAATGCCCCGTGCTCGTGTTCCTTTCACTCAAAATCTCATACCTCCATGTAAGGGACGCTGGACCAAGTTCCCCGCAGGTGCAGCTCCCCACCAATGGAACGGAGCCACCTACCAGCCCAGTTCTCCTACGTGATGGAGGTGCTCTTATCACCTCGTGGCGGAGACCCGACTACCAGATTTTGAAAAACAAATAAAAATGATATTCCTTTTTTTTTTGTCCCTTTTTTTTTTCATGGTGGTGGTGGTGGTGGGGAACCGAACATAAACCTTTTTTTTTTTTTTTTGAGAATATAAATCTTCGCCCTCATTGTATGATAATCAGTGACTTAAACCACTAGTACCTCCGAGCCTTGGGAAATTAGGGAAACAAGTGGACCCGCCGAAGGCAAAAACATTTTGCGAAACACCCCAGCCATCAGTTGGACCCCTTCTTTGCAATGTACCCCTAGTGGACGCTGCCCAACTTCGCAAAATGGGCCGGCAGTCACCAAGTTTTCGTACGTGCAGTTGCAAAAGGCCAAGCAAATTTGCACACGCACCCAACAGGGGCATAACACAAACATGTCAGTCCAATAGGCCATTCCAACTCTCTCTCTCTCTCTCTCTCTCTCTCTCTCTCTCTCTCTCTCTCTCTCTCTCTCTCTCTCTGTGTGGTTCATTCGGATTTTGCTTATTCTATGGATGGAAGTAGCCTCTCTCTATCTCTCTGCGTGCATGGCTGGAAAAGTCTCTCTCTGTCTCTCTCCCTTTGACATCGTTTAACAACAACAGATGATGGATCATCCTTCTCCCGCTCCCCCTCCTGCTGCTCCTCCCGCTCTTCCTCCTCCTCCCGCTGCTGCTCCTCCCGCTCCCCGTCCTGCTGCTCCTCCCGCTATTCCTCCTCCTCGTGCTGCTCCTCCCCCTCTTCCCTCCTCTCCCGCTCCTGCTCCTCCCGCTATTCTTCCTCCTCGTGCTCCTCCTCCTCCTCCCTCTGCTCCTCCACCTCTTCCC